AAATTTTTCATGAGGGTGTCCTCCACTGAGGACACTGCAAGCTCCAGGGGACTCAACCAAATCTTAAAAGGGCCGAAAAAAAAAGCAAAAAAAATTCAGTGTGAGAAATTTTCAGCTATCGATATGGAAAACTTGGGAAATTAAAACTATATGGGAGTATAAAACAAGTTCCAACCACACAATAGAACGAAAAACTAATGTAAAAGACCTGGGAGTGATAATCGATCTCATCTGCTTAAAAAAATGAAAGGATGGATAATGAGAACCTTCAAAACGAGGGATGCCAAGTACATGATGCACTCTTCAGGTCGCTTGTTCTATCTAGGCTGGAATATTGCTGCACACTAACAGCACCTTTCAAGGCAGGTGAAATTGCTGACCTAGAAAATGTACAGAGAACCACGGCACACACAAGTGCGATAAAGCGTTTCAATTACTGGGAACGCTTGAAGTTTCTCGACCTGTACTCCCTAGAATGCAGGCGAGAAAGATAGCCATTATATACAGTTGGAAGATCCTAGAGGAATTAATACCAAACTTGCACACGAAAATCACTCCCTATGAAAGCAAAAGACTCGGTAGACAAAGCCGGACCGAAACTAGCCATAAACCTCTCTTATGTGCCGGTTTTTATGTATTGTTCCGGTCACAATATTGTGATTTTTTGTTCTTTATATATATTCTGATTGCCACAAAAAAATTAAGCGTCTGGTTATCACAGGTTTAATAAAGAAAGCATTAAGTCTCCGCCACTCCTTGTACTCGTGACTTGCATGTGTTTAGCACTTAGATAAATCAAAACGATTATCTTACAATGGAAGATAAGATAATTGGGGGAAAAAAATAGTGTGGTATCAGCGAGACTGATCAGCTCTTTCCTAAGATTTAATAGAGGTTATTCACTTGGCTTGCGCGGAGCTGCTCTCTCAACGAGTAATACTAACAACACTGTACTGGTGATGTTGTGTAGTGTGTAATTATGTTTTATTGTGTAATAGATTATTTGTGAAGTGGTTGTGTTGTAATAGACTGTGTGCTGGTAATTTGTGTATGGTGTAATAGATTGTGCTGGTGGTATTGGGTAGTATAATGAATTACATTTGTAGTAATGATGTTTCATAGCGTAAGACTGTGTGCTGATGACTGTGTACTATCTCCGTCAGTTACGAGCAGCAAGATGACGGCCTGGCTGCTGGCACTGACGGTGACTATGGTCGCTGTGCTGGGAAATACTGTGGCGCTGGAAAAGCATCAGCAGGGAGTACGGGAGGCGCAGCAGCATCATCAGGGAGTACGGGAGGCGCAGCAGCATCAGCAGGGAGTACGGGAGGCGCAGCAGCATCATCAGGGAGTACGGGAGGCGCAGCAGCATCATCAGGGAGTACGGGAGGCGCAGCAGCATCAGCAGGGACTACGGGAGGCGCAGCAGCAGGGATTATGGCCGCCCTCGGAGGGCTTGCTGCTGGGGCTTGAGGAGTGGTTCAACAGCCCTGCACAGCGAGCAGCCGAGGGCTTCCCAAGGATGTTAACGGGCAATGAAACCCCGTATGACAAATCGTGAGTTCTTGTACTTCTTCTCATGGATGTAGTGGGGATTCTTGCGAATAATAAGGCAGTTTAATGGTTTATCTGTACGCTTGGTCTCTTCAACAGGTCGGCTCTTATAGCCATGTCTGAGAATGTTTCCGTCCTGCGCACTGCCACTGTTTATGGGATTGAGAGAAAGAATTACTGGGAACCAGGGATACCTCTCTCGGCATTTACATCTATCAAATTATGTTAAGTTTACTATTTTTGTTCAAAGTGGGACATTTGGATCCCTATAAATGGAAATGGATCAAATCCAATTAAGAACTAAACATATAATACGTATTTTTTAAACCGAAATTTACACAGTTCCGACAAACTGATAAACACAACATTACAGTTCTGGGTGTCTTTATTTTCAAAAATTGATCTATAAAAGGCACCTATTAGTATCCTACATATATTAGGCATAAAAACCTCATGATTTTCTTTTTTCATAACGCAATGCCAAAGTACATCTGAATATATATATATAATATATATAATAATATAGATATAAGATATTATATAAAATCCTCCATGGGGAATTGGAACAGAATTCTTTTCCCTTCGCTAAAGCCAAGTGTGTCGTAAGAGGCGACTAAAATGCGCCGAAAGCAAGGGGCTAGTAAACCCCTTCTGTATATATTGACTGAATTAAAAGGATAAACTTTTCGTTTTTCCTTTTGGGCCCCCCCGCCGCCTAGTGGGATAACTGCCTCTTTGTTGAAAGAAAATATAATAATAAATATATATATATATATGATATATATAAATATATATAATATATATATATATATATAAATTATATAATTATAAATGATTTTTAAGGTGGTGGACCGGTAAGAGCCAGCGGAAGCCCGTTCAGATGACCAAAAGCTCCAGTTGTGGTCATCATATGACCCCCGCGTCAGAGTACAATTGACCTTTTCCTGACGAAAGGTTATCCTGGGTGGCTAAACCCACGGTTAGAAAACCGAACATAATCAAAACTATTACTCGTCCCTCAGACACTGATGCCTCTAGTGTCTGTCTTGTCCAGTACCTGTTTTTGTCCTCGGTTCATCACGAATTTGCCCTTCTCTTTTTGATGAATAATAGAAAACAGAACGCTTGTTTGACGCTTAAGCGACCGCTAAAAAATTAATGTGAATATAATTATCGCAATTAGTGAATAAGACTCTCTTACAAGACACTTGGTATCAGTGATTCCGAAACGTCTCGTCATACAGCAGGCTTCTTCATTCATTGAAGAGTAATATACAGAAAACATTGACACCTGAGACACACACTTTCAGCATGTAACCATATATTAGTTCTATAATTTGACTGATAAAGCCATCTGAGCAGGCGAAACGGTTTGGAAAGAGCCACAAAACTGATATGTATGTGTGTTTCTCATTCAACTATTACAAATGCTGTTTTCTTTTTACCCATCTCGTGCAGCAATCATGGGATGGCCATTCTAGTCATATTCTGGTGCTACTAGAAACCAAACACTTTCCAAGATCTAAAGATATCTGTTCTTAACATAATAAAATTTTAAGTTTTATACGTAGCCTTACTTAGTACACAGTGTCAAGTGCTTAAAAATCTTCATAAAAAGACGTTACTTCAACTGACCATGAATGTCTTATCGCCTTTTAACGTAATATCTTTAATTTCACCAGTACAGAGGTATACAGACCATAATCTGACATCCAATGACATACTACTATATAGAAAGCCCCTTGTAACGAACGCAGAGTAAATCCCCATTAGGTCAGTTTTGTCCCAGGATCGAGAGACAACCCAGTCCACTAACACCCCAGGATGCGACCCACACCATCCCAACTAACACCCAGTATCCCATTTTACTGATGGATGTATGAGGGGAGGGGGGGGGGGGGGCATAGGAGTGGGGCGCGGCAAGCGTTTTGTCTTTGTCTAATTATTGATCTCGACTAAACACGCCCAATATACTACCTAGCCTGGAATTGAACCCGGACGCTCGCCGTGTGAAGCGAGAGCTTTAGCCACCAGAACCATGGGGCCTCAATATTTTTCTTATTTTGCCCATTTCCTTATGTTTATTGCACATAGGTTTGGGACAGCTGGGTGTGGATGACCTACCATCTACCTACCCAACATCGTCAAAACGAGCTTGTCGCAACGACTGAATTCTTCTACAAGACCCTCACCAATCATGATTTTTCAACATCGTCTACTCATGGACACTACTACTGGCCACTCCTGTGTGAAAGTCGTGAGCCAGTGTATTATATTGTCAGAGGTAGATATAACCTGATGCTAGAGCACATATTAGTGTGCCGATTAGGTAAAATTGGTCAATTAGCATGAAATCAATTAAGGTCTCTTTCTAAAATTTCTGTTATACGTTTAAAGAGAATATTTTTGTGGTTAATATACAAAATAATAATTTTTGTACCTGTAATAATTTTGTCCTGTGATCCTCTTCAAAGGGGCTCCTTGGCGTGGAAGAAGGCTCTTGTCTGAGAATTTAGACCTATCGGTCTTCTTCTCAGACCGAACCTAATTACCCCCCCAATCTCCCCTCCCCACTCCCATCCTCCCCATCCACCCCTTTTTCCTTTCCTCCTCCCCTCCCCCACCTTCCCTCCCTTTTACCCTTCCTCATTTGGTACTTTGGATTTCTCCCACAGGCACGCAAGTTCCTGGGTAGGAAGAAAGGATACCGGGTCCATCCAATCCGTTTAGGTTCTTAGCGGTGGCGTAGTTTGCCCGTGAATCTGGACGCCTGGGGATGTCCCGATCCCTCCTCCGTATCCGGAGTAGCTTTGGGTGTCTTTTCGGGCGAACGAGTGTATCTCTGGAAGCCACCTTTCGGATTCCGGGTGGTGGCCAAAGGAGTTATGCTTTGTGGCGTATAACCGGCCGCCCTCTGCTTTTGTCCACTGATGTAGCTCGGCAGAAGGTGAGGTTGCTATCCGCGGATTTCTGTGTTTACTGGCATGAAGGGTAGTGTATGGCACGGGTTCCATGCTTCAATCTGCGCTAGCTAGCGGTTTGCGGTCCTCTTGGCGTGCGGAGGGAGATTTCCGGCCCTTTCATTCCTCCTGGGAACAATTCCTCCCCACTCACTACCCCCCATTTTTTATTCTTTATTTTTTTTTTATTTTCTTCTTCTTTCTTTTTATTCCTAAAAACAAAAAGCAAAGGAGTAACCTAACCATGCAGCCCTAGTCCTAGAACCCACTACCCCCGGGCCCCTTCTTGATACCGCAACCCCATTCTGACCCTGCCTTGTGTTTAGACCACTCTTCCAGACACCCTGATGCCCCTGTAACCTCTTGCTGGAGTCGGTTTCTCCTCACCCACATCAGTACCGGGCTTCCGACTGACTCCTTCGATTTGTCTGAACTCCGCTCTCCTTTGACTATGCATCCGGCTTCTTCTCCCTCTACGGTACGGCAATTTTCGAAATCGCCCGCCATTTCACGCCGGACCAACTCCAGTCCTACTCCTAAATAAACGCAAACGTCAATCTCCTGATGATTCCTTCGTTACCTTCCCATTCTACTCGGAAAAGACCGACACGTCACGCACTCCCCTCTCCACGCTTCAGTTTCGTCGGACCACACAAAGGACAAAATCTTTACTTTAAGATACCGACTTCTTCAGCCTACCTTCTGACCATGAGTATTGGCAAAGCGCTCCTGCGTCATGTTGGTAGAAGATATTTTCATTTCATTCTCTCGAGCGGTATGCGCATCGTCACTGTCCAGAATGCTACCCCAAGCTCTATACTTTCTCTCCTTTCGAATATCGATACTACTCCAATCACTATTGAAAAACATCTTTCTCTCAATTCTTGGAGTGGTACTGTCATTTCTCCCCATACCATAGTCCAACAGAATTCCGTCATGTGCAATGACATTTTTGAACTAGCTGGAACTCCAGTATCTCCCACTCCTCAAGTAGACACCTTATGTTCCTTCCTGCCCGGGGCTGAGACGTTACCCTTGCAATGTGGCTTCTTTAACTTTTGACAGCCAGAGAACTCCCTCCCTCTGTATATGTCGGCGGGACATCGGTAACAAGTCGAAAGGTGATACCTACCCCGCAACAATGTAGAAATTGCTGGCTATTGGTCACCCAGCGAAATATTGCAGATCTATGGCCGAAAGCCCCTCAGTTCTGTGGGTGCAGACGACCATTTCTAATACATCTTGCAGTCAACCTCCATCTTTGACTTAATTGTAATGAAGCCACCCTTCGTACTCCCGCTGATCCAGTTCTACTTAAATTTAACTTGAAATCCGTTGCTCAAAGAGGCAGAAGGTCACCCTTATGCTATGGCCAGTTACTCATCCCGCCTCCTAGGAGACTACCCCTTGTTTCTTATCTCGTTTTTTTCCAAACATCCCCCGCTCCTTCTGGGAACCACTTCTGCAGCCTCCTCTGTTGTTAACCCTCCCATTAGCCACTACGGCATCTAATCCTTTGCTGTCCTTGGCTTCTGGACGTCCCTGACTACAACTCAGTCGTTTCTCGCACTCCTTTCGTGTCCCCTTCCTCACAAGCCCACAGTATCGACAAGACCGTTGTACGACACCTTAATACCAATCGCCCCTCTACTTCAGAATCCAAAAAATCCGACATTGCTCAAATCTTCTTGCCGTCTCCTCTTCCCCTTCCCTTCCCTTTCTTCCACTCCACACTTTAACCCTTTCCATTCCTCTGTACCTAGTTCTTCCCCCCTCTCTCTGGCTCTATTACAAGTGTGGAGATTCACCCTCCTCCCGTACTATTGATGCCTTCCACACCCCTGCCCCTCCCAAGTTTCTCCCTTTTCTGCCACCTCCCAGGTTTCTGCCTCTTCTGTCCCCCCCCACACTTTCATCTCCCATTCCCCATACACTCATCCCTCCCCCACAACTTTGGTACAGTCCAATACTGTCCCAATCTTTACTCCCCTCACTCCTTCTATCTCCAATTTGGTCTCCCATACACCTTGAAATTCCAGGAAACACTTGAATCCATTTCAGAAAATATTCCAAAGACTAAACCTTCAATGACACTGATGCACTTCCTGTTTTCCTTCTCTTCCCTCTCCCTCCATACCTCACAAACCCCCATTCTTCGGCAACGCTTCCGTTCTTTTGCTACTTGAAACGTCTTTCCATGCCACCACACGTTAGACTTTTCTAACCCTCAGTCCGTAGGGTTGCCTTTAAACCTACAGATTCTGATATTTTCTCATCGCCAATCATGG